GGCTGGTCTCATACTTCTGGGCCCAAGCGATCCTCCCACCTCGGCCTCCCAAAGTGCTGGGATGACAGGTGCGAGCCACCATGCCTGGCCTGCTGCGAGCTCTTGACTTTTTGAGAGGCGCAATATCCTCTCAATTCTGGGCCCTGTGAGTTTTTTCCCCCTTTGTAAAGTGGTAACTTTCCCCAGGTTCTGGGGAACGGTGGTGTTGTCAGAGCTCCATTTTAATCCGGGCCAGTGTGAGAACGTGCATGTTCAGTGAGTGTAGTGCTGCTGTTAAAACCTGGCTCTCGGGGGCGGTGGCTCAAACGCCTATAATCCCAGCACTTTGGGAGGCTGAGGCGGGCAGATCACGAGCTCAGGACATTGAGACCATTCTGGCTAACACAGTGAACCCTGTTTCTACTAAAAATACAAGATTAGCCGGGCGTGGGTGCACACCTGTAATCCCAGCTACTCGGGAGACTGAGGCAGGAGAATCGCTTGAACCTGGGAGGCGGAGGTTGCAGTGAGCTGAGATCATGCCATTGCACTCCAGCCTGGGCAACAAGAGTGAGACTCCATCTCAACAACAACAACAACAACAACAAAACAAACAAAAAACATAATATTAGCCAGGCGTGGTGGCAGATGCCTGTAATCCCAGCTACTTAGGAGGCTGAGGCAGGAGAACTGCTTGAACCCAGGAGACAGGTTGCAGTGATCTGAGATGGTGTCACGGCACTCCAGCCTGGGCAACAGGGCAAGACCCTATCTCTAAAGAAGGAAGGGATGGGAAGAAGGAAGGGAAGGGAAGAGGAAGAAAAGAAGGAAGGAAAGGGAAGGAAAGAAACGAGGCACAGAGAGGTAGAGTGACTTGCCTGAAGCCACACATCTGAGAAGCAGCAAGCTAGGGACGGAGCCTAGGTAGTCTGGCTGCAGAGTATGAGGTCATGCCCATGACTCCAGACTCGGAGTCACCCGGTGGATGGCACTGCCTGCCTCAGTCTCCCTGGAAGTTGGGGTGCAGGAGAGGGGTGTCCAGGTATGGAGGGAAGGCAGCGATGCTGGGGTCACCTGGGGGATGGCGCTCCCCGCCTCCGTCTCCCTGGAAGTTGGGGTGTAGGGGAGGGGTGCCCAGGTATGGAGGGAAGGCAGAGATGCTGATGCTGTTGCCTCTCCTAGGTCCTGGCGGACACCAAGGAGCTTGTGTCGTCCAAGGTGTCAGGGGCCCGAGAGATGGTGTCTAGCGCCAAGGACACGGTGGCCACACGAGTATCGGAGGCGGTGGATGCGACCCGCGGTGCTGTGCAGAGCGGCATGGACAAGACGAAGTCTGCAGTGACTGGCGGGGTCCAGTCCGTCATGGGCTCCCGCGTGGGCCAGATGGTGCTGAGTGGGGTCGACACGGTGCTGGGGAAGTCAGAGGAGTGGGTGGACAACCACCTGCCCCTTACGGACGCCGAGCTGGGTGAGTGTGGCCAGACGGCTGCTCTGAGACCCCTCCCCAGGCCTCCTAACCGGAAGCCGCTGTTGGCCTCGTGGGGTCTGTCCCTCACTGCCGCCTCGTCCCTGCCACCTCTTCCCAGCATCTTGGAATCTCATCATCAACGCAGTCCCCCTGTGTCGTGCTCACCAGCTCCCACCCTCACCCACCACAGTCACCTCCCCACAGCAGCCACCAGAGGGCGTCTGTGAGCATCTGAATCATAGCCCATCCCTCCTCTGCCCACAGCCCTCCATGGACCCCACCTCCCTTGGGGTCAAGGCCCAAGTCCTCGTCACAGCCAGCCCACAAGGTCCTGCACAACCTGCCCTGTCCTCTCCCCGCCCTCCTCCTCTTCCCCCTTCGCTCAATCCGTTCCTGCATAAATGTGTGACTAAACTTGAGATCTCACTGAACCCTGGTGTTCCTGCCAGGCCAGAAATCCCACGTCAGTCATCTCGGTCATATACTTGCACTCCCTGCACTGTTTATTTGATATTTTTCTTTCTTTATTATTTATTTATTTAGAGACAGAGCCTCGCTCTGTCACCTAGGCTGGAGTGCAATGGCGTGATCTTAGCTCACTGCAACCTCCGCCTCCTGGGTTCAAGTGAGTTTCCTGCCTCATCCACCTGAGTAGCGGGGATTACAGGTGCCCGCCACCAAGCTTGGCTAATTTTTTGTATTTTTTTTTTAAATTTATTTTTATTTTATTTTTATTTTTTATTTTTTTTTTTGAGATGGAGTCTCTCTCTGTTGCCTAGGCTA